GTCCTGGAACCCTTTTTTGAGGAGCTAGTTGTATCAGCTAGCATTTGATAATCCCTGGGCTGCTACTCAAAGGTACGTTTATCAGCCTTTGACCAAATAAAGGTCTGTCCGTGATAACATTGTGGACCCAGAAGCCACACTTTATTGTACAATCAAAGAATGGAAAACAAATGGATTTTCTATAACTGTAAATTATACTTTATTGTGACCAGCAAAGCAATTTAGTAAAATCCAGCATCATTAGGGTTAACCAGCACTGAGCTTTCTCAACACCCCCAAGTAATAATAATACTATTAATATTACATGAAAGCAGTTGCATAACCTTTTAAGATGGAAGCAGAAAAGATGGCTCTAGTGTTATTTGAAATGGTAAATTTGTAAATTCCTTTTCCCTGATAATCGTACAAAGATATGAAAGGAGGTCAGTAGAGGCTTCCAGGGAGATAATAAATGTGTTTTATTGCAGATCACTAGCCTTTCTCCTACCATCGGCAAGAAAACAAGTTTCTCCTTCTCAAGTTTTGTGTTATCAACCTGAAGAGAAAGTTCAGAGCAAAGCTAAGCTGCTTACAGAATGCAGGCGTGCACATACCCATACAGGTACTTATGTACTGTGATCAACCATAGAGAAAGCAGCACCAAGACAAGGTTACAATGCATCATGTTACTATATTATATAATTTGACTGTCCAACTGGCAGGCAACGGGACCTTCTTTTGCAGCCGCGTGGACACCACTGTTATAGATGTTACCCAAACATGGAAAGATCAGGCTATGTCCATCTTTAATGTGTCACAAACTCAGACATCTCAAACTAAGCTTATGAATGAACTAATACAAAAGCAGAGGTTGTGGCAGTGAAAGCTACAGAAGAATCAGTAGACTTTAAAATATAGGCACCACAAATTAAATGCAAGTCTTGACTTTTTAGCCCCACTACCTTCCTCCTCCTTATTGGTCAGTGAGGACATCCATTACATCAAACGTCCAATAGACAACATTTTTATTATCAACCACATTACAATATACTGTATATCATATAGGAATATAAATATCTAATAGTAGGCGCAGGACAGTGGCTTAGTAGGTAGCACTTCTGCCTTGTAGCAATGGGGTCATTGTTTACATCCTGGCCAGGGTTTCCTCTGGGTACTCCAGTTTCCACTCACACTCCAAAGCGCCTAACAGCATGGTAGGTTAATAGGCCCTAGAATATGTGTATGCACATATGCAAAAAAATATAGCAGACCCTGGTAACATTTTGTTGAAAGATAATGCAGCCCTGTAATGAATTCCATGCATGGAGCCACAGAAAAGGTTCCAAGGTTAAACATGCATCCAAGAGCGCAATGCAGCCATATTAGTACGGATGGGATACCTAATAGTATAATAATAAAATAGTATAATATTGTGGCATTTATGATTACTATATTATTGTTACAACTTGTGTCTTTTGTAGTTATACTATAATGTACACGCATGTATGTTTTATAAAAAAAGATAATCCTTCTATAAACCTCATACTGTATTGCAATATAATCTTTTAATATATAAGAAAAAACTCATATTGTCATCCTATTTATATGTCCATTCAGAATTTGGCCCATTATTATATATATCTATAGATATGTGATTATAAATCGTCTATGTGTTTTAGATTATGGATATATTTCATACTTTAATTTCAACTAAATATTATTTTTATTTTCACATCAACTGTATATCACTTTTTTATTATTTATAAAATGTTTATATTTGTTTTAGCCCTGGTGAAGTTGGCCGTTTTGAGCCTGCAAAGCACAGCTGCTACCGTTATGAACTGTAATAGACTATTGCATTTAAGAAAGATTCTTTTGACTCCTTCTCAATCTTGTCACGTGGCACTCCTATTTTCCTTTAAAATTCCAATAAAAAAGCTTGACGGGTGAGAGGAGGCGGGGTCATGCTAGCTTTTTACAGAAAAAGTCCAAAATTGCATATTTTTGCCTTCTGTCTCAATTTGACTATCTCAGTTTACTTTAGTTTAACAGATATGGTACTTGCTGATATCATTCCTTTTACATTAGTCTTCTCTTAATGTTTAAGCAGCCAAACTGGCCTCATAAAGTGAAATCAGAGATCCTAAAGTGCCTGTAATTACCTTTGGGCAAGGTCTTTAAAACCCCAGAAGCCCCAAGAACCAGTCTCTGATATTCAAGTCTTCGATTCTCCCAAGCGAGTTGAGAGTGAACCCACCTTTTCTACATCTCCCTACCAGTTCTTTATGTCCTATAGAAAGGGGGAGGAGGAGGTGGACCAACCCGGTTTAGTTGGCCATGATGACCGGTGTAGCATCAAAGTCCAAAAAGCCAAAATATAATACACTCTGCTCTTTAAATTCATAAAATATAGTGTTTTATATAGAATATAGCAGTAGAAGAGTATGTAAAGTCTACTCAGTAAATAAGCATGTATTACAATCCTGTGACAAATTAACACAATTAATGACCATGACCTCCAGTATTGACCATTAAACCCAGCAATATAAACTATTGGTTTGAAGCAAACACCCATGTTATTTCTTGTCTTTTACAGTCCATCAACATTCACTCAGAGTCAGTCAGTATCACCAGTACAAAATTATTAGAATTGTCCTAGGATGACAATGCTGCTTTTCCAAAGATACAGTATGGCAAATGAGCCTCGGGGAGGAGGTGTGTTACTGCCAGGTGAAAATAAAGGGAAACAATCCTGAAAAAAGAAAAGTAATGCAGCCACCACATCTAAGTAAGGACTAGTAAGTTTCAACATATCAAAATGTGTTTCTTGGGTTTGGATATTCTTTACGGCACAAAGGACAACAGATAATTTGCATGGTGTGCAACTATATTTACAGATAAGCTCGCCAAATACTTTTGGATTTTTTGGATTTTCACTACATGTTTGGGCTGAATTTTTACAATCAGCCTACAAGTACGCTGGCTGTAGACTTATGACAGCCGTGGGAAGTTTAACAAGATTAAAGTCTATTCTTATGTAGCAGTCAGCCTATTAGAGTGTACAGCTCATTCTGATTGTATGACCAATTACTTGAGGAGCAATGGGTGTGATAATAGAATGCACTGCATGAAACTGATCAGCAATAAAATATGTGTTTCATTTTATCCTGTTCATTGCAAAGTTTATCAAGTTACACTGTAAACATTCTTATAAAGCCCTGTATATATATATATATACATACACACACACACACATATATATATAATTGCCCTCACAAAATGCCAATTTCATTGTTGAAAGCCTCATGAAACATTCATTTTAAAAGCTGTTTTTCTCTTGGTATTGTGTTATAACAAAAAAAAACAAAAAAATACAACAAATACATGGAAGACTTAGAATGAGACTCCTGTCCAGAAGAACATAACTTTACCATTTTTCTGGAAGCTGCAATTGCAGAGTTATTTATCACTGCCACCTACAGGTGAAAACAAGCACTGCAACAGACACTTTGCATGGTAAGCGCCTATCTTTCCTGATGATCTCATCATATACTTTTACTCTCATTCCACAAAACTAAAAACATATAAATAGGCTGCTATGGTCATTTTCACTACATATTTGGGCTGACTTTTTATAATCAGCCTAAGCTATGACTATATGGGTATCTTTATGCTGGCTATAGACCATATGACAGCTGTGTGAAGGTTAACAAGATTAAAGCATATTCAAACACAGCTAGCAGTCAGTCTATTAGAGTGTACAGCTCATTCTCATTGCATGACCAATTACTTGAGGAACAATGGGTGTGATAATAGAATGCGCTGCATGAAACTGATCAGCAATAAAATACGTGTTTCATTTTATCCTGTTCATTGCAAAGTTTATCAAGTTACACTGTAAACATTCTTATAAAGTTATAAAGTCTCTCTCCATGACCAACCTAAGGGACTAATACAGAAGTAAAAAAAAAAGGTAGGTTTGCCAAGATAGATTTTCTTTTAAACATAAATATTGCTCAAGTTTGTAATGTTTATTTTTCCACATATAATGGGCATTTAAAACCTTATTTTCTCCTAGATCTCATCACGAGCTCTATTAGCTGTTTTTCTCTTCCTTCCCTGGCATGTTCTTGATCTTGTTTTATAACAGTAGACTGCAACACATACAAATACGTGAAACACTCAGGATGAGAACCCTGTCCAGAAGAACATCCTTTTACACTTTGTAAAGAATACCCAATCACTAACAAGGAAAATTAATAAAGTATTTTTGCTTGCACATGATTGGCTGATAGAAGTCACCTCATTCACTAAGCTAAGGAGGGAATCCTTTGCAAAGTGAACAGCCTATTTGTCTAGTAAATCAATGCCACAGTATTTAAAGCCCATTTCCGGCCAAATCAAAAAGCTACCCTTGCAGTGGGGCTACCTCTGCACTGCAAGGGATACGTGCTTGTTTCTGTCTATGGAACTGGAGTAAAGCTGTTTTACTTACCTGGACCCCAAACCCCAGCCGGCAGTGCTGTCCTCTTTTCCCCCTCCGCTCCGACTACAGGTCTATGGAACTTGATTACATCAGCAGTTCTTAGAATGCCAGAGCGTGGGGGAGAAGAGGCTGCGGGGACCAGTCTAGCAGGATAGATGGGTCCGACAGGAGTGGGTATCAGGTAAAAGTGCTTCACTTCAGTCCCCTAGACAAAAACAAGCACTTAACTTTTGCAATGCAGGGGTAGCCCCACTGCAAGGGAATTTTTTTGGGTTTACCCAGAGATGGGCTTTATACCACTGAATCACCGGGACAGGTACACCTAACATGTTCAGAACAAGAGCTCGACCTCCACGGTTCAGTCTAGACAGGTTTGCTTTCATTCCAGTTCAGACTGCAGGTGGCTTGGACCCTTGTATCACAGAGGGGACAGAAGCAGTGCTGCTATCATTTTGAAACAACTAGAAGTATTGAGCATCCACATTACATATATAACAATATACATACTTATTATTATGTAATACTGAGCACTTACTTGTACACATTGCCTCTGGTGGGTCAAAATCCGCCCGATAGTAGCCATTGCGGCAGATACAGATGGGAGAGGCCTCCGCCGTAGAGCGACTGTTCGCAGGACATGGAGCACAAATCCCCAATCCCTGGTTGGCTTTAAACATGCCAGCTGGGCAGGCTGGGGAGAAGCACACAATATAAAACATGTATTAATTTATGTATTCATCTCACTGCTTCAGAGCTGCTAAAATAAAGGAATCATTGCCTTATAACATTTCGACAGACAAGGAGGAAGTCAGCAACTGCACAACTGTATTTGACATTCATCAATAATGGCCATTTCCAGACCAAAAGCCTGAAGGTCAAAAAAAGTCAGACTGTTGTGTCTGAACATGTGTAGGCAGTCAGTCAGCCGGCTTCTTCCATTCAATGACAGTATCAGAATCAAGGCAGGTGCGTCTGACAGACTGAGCTCATGATATGTTTACTTGTGTCCCTATTGATTTCTACTCCGCTGGTTGTGTCAACACTAGAACATGTACAGCAAGTTAACACTACTTAGTAAATAAGCCTTCTAATGCAAATAACATACCTGTACTGTCTGCAACCCCTTAGATGGCTCTTCTCCCCTGTCTTCTCTGTATTTTTCATGTGACAAAAATAAGATATTTTCTTTACAATTTCTAAAATGTCACGGCTAAGGACCCCCTGTATTTCCCTACACCTACACAAAGCCTACCCTTGGCAAATCCCAGCTGGAGTCTGATTGGTGGCTTCGGGGTAATAAAACAGTTAGTAATATGGAATTTTTAATCTATAAGGGCACACATTAAGTTTTATTGCTCAAAGTGGCTAACAAAATACCTTGTGCTGCCTAAAGCATGCAGATTATTACATTAATTTTCATATATTGCGTTAGATGAAAGGAAGGTAGAATTTGATTGGTTGCTATGGGAACAAGAACAGTTCTTTCAGACACTTTGATAATGTGGCTGTATTTAAATTTGGTTCATCAAGTGGCAGAGCTGCCATGGGCAAAGGAGGTGACCCACGACAGACCCCGAGCATAAAAGATACCCAAGCTGGATTCTCCATCTATTCCACTGAGAGTTGAGGAATGGAGACTTCTCTACTCTATTACTAGAGGCCATTTTATTGAGTCTAGGTTGTTAAGTCTTTATATGCTCAGTTAACCCATGACTAGTATTTGAAATATCAACAGCTTCTCATAATCTTTATTACTCAGGCAGCAAGGTCTTTGCTGCTGTGTTCCAAGCTCCACCCACATGCCCCAAGCGTTCTTCCTGTTGGATTTTTTATTTGTGTGCATCAAAGCAGAAGTAAAATAGAAAACAAAATTGCTAGGCGGTAGGGATTTTGTCCTTTTGCAGGACTTACATCATCATCTTCTGCTATTCAATAGCGGAAGTGGATGCCTGAGAACCCGGAAGTGGTGGCAGTGGAGATGATGGCGGCAGTGTACAGAAGTTTCAACACACAGTGTTAGAGAAGGGCAGGTAAGGTAAGGGTGCCATAATATGCAAGTATGCTCTGCACACGTATATATTATGGCAAAAGCCATAACCCACCCAGCACATAGAAATGTACTACCCTTTTAAGGAGAAAACAGCAGGAAGAGAGGCCACCAGAAGAGTAAAACTTGGTAAGGGGGTAAGCAAAGCCAGGAAATCTGTTAAGGACATCTTGTTGCAAGACACCATGAGAGATATAAGAGGCCACTTGTTTATTTAGAGCTCATTCTAATGGGTGTGAATGGCCACACACCAGGAGTAAACAAACTTTGGCCCTCCAGCTGTGATGAAACTTCAAACCCCATCATGCATCTGTCTCTAGAAGACATGCCTGTGGCTTTCAGAATCTTGCAATGCTTAATGGGCTTTGTATTTTCACCACAGTGGTAGGGTCGAAGTTTGGCTACTCCTGCTTTACACCATAAAACTCAGCCAATACTGCTGTGTCCAGGAGTGAGAGTGGCCTGTACAAACCAATGACAATCTGAATTTACCTGCGCATCTGTTTCCATCCGTACAGGGACATATGAGGGGACATAGATGAAGACAATTTGCGTCCAGGGTGGCTCATCCGCCCGGTATGGATGTAACATTTTTGGAATACAGTTACAGAGGAAAACAATGCTGGTACAGAGGCATGCTGTATAAACCTTACATAGCACACTTGTTGCTCACACAAAGGAAGCCATCTTGGCAACCACCCCAGGGTTCATAATAAATATGTGCTTGAAGCTATGGCCAATTGGAAGGTTGTACTCTACTAAGCAGAAGGTCAGGATGCAAAATGCCTGCAACCACTGTGCGTATAAGATTATACATTCCTATGTACTACATACAAGGAACATAGGCATAATGATCATACAGAAGTCTATTTTCTCAGCCTTGACATCATGTTCTTGCCATTTAAACAGCATTTTGTCTTCGACCCTGATGAAAGGCAAAAAAAAGAAAAAAATCCTCCCAGCAGCAGTCACTCTCGACGCTGCAATCAATTTCTCCTCATCATGTGCTAATATCTAGAAAGGAGCGGTGAGTGACAGGTTAAAGGGCTTCAATAAAGATTAGAAAGACCATATCTCCAAAAGGAAATTGCTTGAAAAAGTGGTTATTCCACCAGCTTCTATTAATTTCCTTTCCCTGGTTACCTCAAGGAGACTCATATCCTGACACAGAGGAGATGGCGAGTGCAGCCTCTCTGTCTTATCCCAATCAGAGACACAAAAACACTCAGCACTTAACCCCATCCAGGTAGCTCATATCTCTGCAATCAGCTGAGCTCTCTGTGCAAGGACATTAGGGGGTCACGCTTAGCTACGTCTACCAGAGATGCATTAAACCTAACACTTGCTGCAATCTTCCCTTACAGGCTTTTGCTGCAGCCGGTAGATTTAAAGAAACACCTCCATTAGGTTAAAAGCATAAATAATTCCAGCATAGGAATGTACGTTTCCATAACCATCTCCGCTGCAACCAGTCTTTGCATGGGTAGAATCTTCAGCATCCAACACTACTGGGTGTGTGGGATTCCTTTGTCCTCCTGCTACTCACTGTGGCACCCCATACCAGCTGCTACATTACTAGTGTGTCCCACCAGCTCTGAAGAAACACACACTAGTTGCATAGTAGATGGGGCAAAGACAGCAGGATGAAGATGCAGACATCTGACACACCCAGAAGTTTTAGATTCCTAAGATTTTATTGGTGCTTCTAGCTCTGCGAGTAAGTAAACGAGCGATGACTGGTTGCAATGGAGGCAAGAATGGTAAGAATTATGACTGCCGTTAGCTATGCTATATGTGTTTATACTTCTAAGGGGAAGTATTAGTAAAATATACTCTTCCCAATACTTAGAGCCAGCGTGGAAAACTGTCGCTGTCTGATGGCTCTATAACCAAGAGCTGCACGATCATGTAACCGCTGATCGCTCAACTGAAGGTCTCCTCCCTGCAGGCAGCAGTCACGGCTCCCTGCAGGGATTCCCCCATCCCCTCTCTGTTCCTCTAGTGCTCATTGGAGGGACTGACAGGGGAGGGAGCGGGCAAAGCTGGCTCTGGCTATAGAGAGGTAGAACCAGCTGTCAATCAAGCAGTCAGGTGGATCCCCACAATATTGTTGGGATCATACAGCTGCTGTGTGGCTCTGCACTGTCAGCAGATAGCGGCCAGTAGCCTGCTAAATGCTGACTTTGGGTCACAGAGTACATTAATCAACACTTAACATTTACAGAGTTGGGACACCAGACACCTTTCTTGAGGCCTTTCTATTAAGATCAGTAGAAGGCAAACTAGGCTATATTTGCACTATACACCAAAGACAGGATGTAAAGGAAATATGTGCATGGCTCCACCCACGTCTTGAAATGAGGAATAATCGTCTTGGGAAATGAAATTAAATGAGACATGTATTCTCTTCTAGTCAAATATTGCTAGGCTATTGTATTAGGCTATCTCTTCTATGTCATTAATCTTAATGTATTGTTTAAGGCTATTTTCTCTTCTGGTCTTGTGTTCTTAGGCTAATTGCTATTCTGGTTCAGTGTTCTTAGGCTATAGTTTTATGCTAAATTCTCTTCTGGTCCAGTGTTCCTAGACTATTGTTTTAGGATAATTTCTCTTCAGGTTATATGTTCCTAGGATACTAGGATTCCTAGGATAAGAGACAATTTAAATATTAGAAAATGACATAGTTACATAGTATTTGAGGTTGAAAAAAAGACACAGGTCCATCAAGTTCAACCTTTGTGTGTCTGTGTGTGAGTTGTGCGTGTGTGTGTGTATAAGAGACCCTGTGTGGTCTAGTATTTAAGAGTACCTGTACCCCTATATGTTACGGTCTCTTAGGACTGTATCTAATTGGTTTTTACACTTCACATATATTAAAAACATTTGCAAAGGTATTATTCATGACTTTTTCACAAATACTGAAATATTCGTACAGCAACATTCTCAATACCAAACCCCCTAGGGTCTTTATTGCTTCATCTCATGACTTAACAGCAGAATTGAGAAGTGCACAGGCTGCAGAGGAGTGAGCAAGCAGCCCTTATCTAACATACAACTCTTTTTTTTTAAAAAAAAACATTAAAATAATAAGATTAAAAAAAGAAAACTAAAGAAATATAAAAAAAAAAAAAGTTTCATTCATTCATTTAATGCAGTACAATGATATTTTTGCAAAACTAAACTGGCTGTATTCCCTATAGTGGCAGAGAGCTCAGAGAATGCTTGTTTTTAGATTTCACATGACATTTGTAAAGATAATTGTATAAAAACACCACACTGATAATAGAAAAAGAAAACAGCTGAAGTGAAAGAAAATAAATAATAAATAGGAGCAGAATAAAGAGTCTAATTAGCTGTACGTAGACTCATATTTACACTGAATGCTACTTCATTATGGATGCGAGGCTGTAACTTGATAAAGCAATGGTCCTGCCGTACACTCACACAAACACGCTCACAATTAGGGGCCATCAACTCATAATCGCTATAATAGAGATGACTGTAGAAATGAGTGAATGGCAAATAAAAGGTGATTAGTGGAAAGGGGGATTGTGAATGGAGATGGTGAAGGAATTAGAAAAGCTATTAACGAGGTGATGAAAAATGTTTAAGTATGTCACAGTGAGTGACCAAGAACTAAAAAC